GTTTGCGCAGTCTTGTCTGAGCGCGTGTTCTGAAGCAAGGTTTCTGTTCTGGTCCGCAAGCCTGGCCGTGCTACCGGCGGCTGGCGATCCGCACGCGGCGAACAGGAGGTGGAAGGGATGGTAGCCAGCACTGACACTCTCCGGGCTGACAATTTTCCCACCTTTGCTAGCCGAGCGGACCTCAAAGATCCGACAGCCGTTTCATACCAGCCCTGCGCCTTTCACCAAACCGAACCAAACTACAAAACCACCGAACTAACGGAAGACTGTCTGCCAACTGCAGGTGCTGCCGTGCCACGATGCAATGGATGGCTTGCATAACACTCAATCAGACTGATGTCACTGAATATTAGAGCGATCTTCAAGAGGTCAAGCTGGTTTGGTGTAGAGTTGGATAACTTAGCTGCCTTTTCTATTTTCGAAACCCGGCACCAGTGCTGAACGACGTATAAAATATAGACTTTTGTACAGCAAGTCATACGCCAAAACTAGTCCCACCGGTGGGCGTGCGCTGTGACGTCCCAAATCAGGTCACCAGGGGGCAAACGTTACGTGCATGGTCCCTATGTTCTCATCCCCAGAATCAAGCATAAGACAGTTAAAAACGTCTCGTAGCGCCCGTCAGTCTGAATCACATATTATAAGGGTTGCCTGAAACGTGTGAAACAGGCCATTTAAGGATAAGAATATACCATTAAGACATTTAGGTCCTTTAACCCAGCTTGAATTTCCCACACACTTCATGGAGCTGCGTCGTCACAGTCATAGCAACACTATGACACAATGCTGGGAAGATGCCAGGAATGCACTGTCAACGAGACACCCGGGGCATTGGGAGCCTGAATGCAGAGAGTGATCGACACGTCGCCGGTGAAGATTCAAAATACCATGTGATGAGTCAACCAAGCCAAGCATCGGATGAACATCACCAAAGGACCGTGTACCGCACTATTTGCTTGAACACCCCAGACGTATTCAGCACGCCCCCTCCCCCCCCAAAAAAAAATATGACGTCGCTTCTGCGCGATGCGGGGAGCTCAAATTTCGACGGGTGGCATTGTATGAAATATATACTTTTAAATATTCAGCAGCCTCAGAATACGCATCTCAAAGGTTTGGAATGCAGATGCAGAAAGACTCGGCCGTAGAGGGACCAACATGATGTCCGAATGAAACTAGGCTAAACCCTAGATGAAATAAATGAGTTTAACACATTCATGGGTCGTTTATAACAGCGTAACAAGCAAGACGACACCGTATTTTCGGATAGGTTTCTACCTAAAATTTATGATGTCACTTAAAGTTAAAAAGTGGGTTTTATTATGTTCCTGATACATGTCCGTAAGAGTTCAGATCTGTGCAATAAACATCGCAATTGCAGACGATATCTGTGACGCTTCTGGGCGTGGTGTGGTGCAGAAATGTTGCCTCGATAGTAAATATGCCGACTGCTTCCAAGCATTGCCACACCACTTGTGGTGTTTCAGGGCACCCGAGGCCGCGCCAACCTTTGGGGGAACTTTCTGGTTATGTCACGCGCGTTGCTATACCGACATTTGACACTTATGTTGCCCGACACGAGGCACGCGTATCCGTACATGTATGTGAAACCCATCAAACAGGCACTCAGTCCTCACGAGGCGGGATGCGTACGCTCGTATCACGGCACCCCAAGACACAGGTGTAGCGCGAAAGGCAACAAAAAGTGTTCGACACCTGCTATTCGACGAGGGTGAATAGCCGAAGTGAGTTTAATGCCTCATCCCAGACCTTGTTCCATAGAGCTCTTCGTCGCACTGTTCTAAATCAGTTCGCTGAATATTGTGCCTCGGTTGTCACGACTCTGTTCATCACACGTCCAGATCTAGTGAAAGTCTGGGGCACTCGCGGTCCGTCGCGCTTGGCAGACCGCTGTGATAGGCGGTAAATGCCGGCTGCCAAGATGACCGGGACCTGAGCGCATAACACTGCTCAGAGGAGAGACTCGCCACAGATCTGCCTTAGGCAGCACGGACTAATTTGTGGATTTGTGCTTAGAATATTCAATCGATAAAACAGTAGTAGTAGCCTTATTCCTCGGAGAAAAGCAAGGAGAATGGAGAAATAGGTGGGTTGATATTTCGGTGACATGCCTTTATCAAAACAACAGCAGAAGTGAATTCAAAATTGCATGCCAATGATCCTACTCTATTTTTCAGGTTTTTATTTGAAAAAGCAAGTCACCCTTTTACAGGACACCAACATTCCGGGGATTAAACAAAGGGCGATTGCCAGCCATCACCACGATACAGTGCATATCTAACAACAATAATACGCGAAACTACGTCTACATGCAAACGGATTCAAGTAAACAGGCATCACACATCGCGCATCAATTATGCATGCGAGGGATTTCGATTGAACAGGCATCACACGTCACGCGTCAAGCATCACTCACACATGTAAACGACTTTAAGCTAGCACACATCACACATAAAAAGACACATATCACGGCCGCATAGTCAGCCATGATGAGCCCTGTATGCTTAGATTTGGTCGCCCATTTTTTATAAGAATAGTTTCACATATTTTCCTGTCTGAGCGGTCCTGTTGTCTGTGGATGGCTTTGAGCCCTAAAGGAGGCATAGAGTCGATACATCCCTCAACTTCAGCCTGAGCGGGTTTTGCCAAAAGAAGCATTCGCTGTTTTGTTTTAAGCGTCTCCCAGGTGTTCATTATATCTCAAACGATTAGGGCGCATGGACTCCCCGACATAGAATATGTCCCTCACATGTTTTTCACACAGTTTACACTTGATTCCGTAAGCCGCGTGTTTACTGCAAATCCCTTGAGGCCCAGACTTGCATAAATAGCATTTATTGCTACTCGTTTTTAGGTTGCTGTCGCTCCTCCAAGCTAGCGTACGCGCAGTTTTGATTTTTAAACGATGCGATTGTGTGATTTTTAACGATGCCTGGGAAATCAAACACATCGTTAAAAAACCAAAACTGTCACATAGCTTGGAAGAACGAAAATAAGCTAAAAGACTCTGGTGAAATCTTCCATCTCGTAGCATAAGTGCCCGGGAATCAGTATATGGCATTGATGCAAGTATGGGTTTCAAGGGTTTGCACGCAAAAAAAACATGGCTTAAGAAATCAAGTGCAAAATGTGTGAAAACATGTTGGAGACGTATTCTAAGTCGGGGAGTCCATGCGCCCTATTCGTTTGAGATATAAGGAACATCTGCGAGACGCTAAAAATAAAACAGAGTGTACCCTTTCGGTGGCCATTTTTTGGCAAAACACGGCTTAGGCTGAAATCGAGGGAAGTATGGACACTATGCCCCTTTTGAAGCTCAAAGAAATCTACAGAGAACAGGACCACCCAGACAGAAATAACTGAAACTATTCTTATAAAAAGTAGGCGACCAAATCTAAGTATACAGGGCTCATCATGGCTGACTATGCGACCGTGATATGTGTATTTATGTGTGATGTGTGCTAGCTTAAAGTCGTTTACATTTGTTAGTGATGCCTGACGCGTAACGTGCGATGCCTGTTCAATTGAAATCCCTTGCATGTATGATTGACGCGCGATGTGTGTTGCCTATTTACTTCAACTCGCTTGCATGTTTGAATGAAGCGTGATGCGTGACGCCTGTTTGCTTGAATTCGTTTGCATGTATGCGTATTTTCGCGTATTCTTGTTCCTAGATATGCAATGCATCGTGGTAATAACTGGCAATCGCTCTTGTTTAATCCCCGGAATGTTGGTGCCCTATAAAGCGGTGACATGATGTTTCAAAAAAACCTGAAAAGTCGAGTAGGATCATCGGCCAGAAATTTTGAATTTACTTCTGCTATTGTTTCGATAAAGGCAGGTCGCCGAAATATTAACCCAACTATTTCTCCATTCCCCTGGTTTTTCTGCGAGGAATAAGATTATCACTACTGTTGATCCATGTGAATAATGTTTCCCGCGAATACCCTTAACAACTTAGTGATATTCAATCGGTGTTATTTCAGTCGCGAAGGCCACCGATCAGAGCCCCTTCCTTTCAACGCATCAGTTGCCGAATGACACACACACACACACACACATAAGGCATACGCATTCACATGCACACACACCCGCACATGCTCACACAGAAGCACACACGCACACACATATTCATCCCATCACATGCATTGCCATTATTCGTTCTTGCACTCCAGCGAGGTCAGATTAAATGGCGTTGTCTACAAATCACTTCGCGATCCGACAAGCATTATGATCTCTTCACGCTTTACCCTGGTGTACATACAGTCGAGTTCGTGTACAAGAATGTGTTCAAAGTTTGGGACCATTTCAGCAATTGTGATCTCAAACGACATAAGTACTAAATAGTCGTCCCCACCATGCAGTCAGGTTCATTTCGCAACACTTTTAAAGCCACACAAGGACAAGGCTGACATGCACGAATCTTGATCTCACTCTTTTAGTTAGTCCAAACAAATGCGAACGAATAACATCATGTCGAGCATCTGAACCGAGCTGAACTGCAGAAATGAATTCGTGTTCGTGCCCGAATTCGTTAGGAGAGGACCCAGGGCATATGTAAAGTGGGCGATCTTGCCGTACCTTTTAACCTCCATAGGGGCTGTGGTCCGTGTCCCCCCCCCCCCACAGGGGCCACATAGCCCGTTCCCCCCCCCCCCCCGCCACCCGCAGGAGCCGTGGCCCGTGGCCCCTGAGAACCGACCATGACGTCACTCGTCCGTAAGACAATGTAGACAGGGTCGCAGGCCGTGATCCTTGCTCTTCTCACCATCTGTGTATTCCATGGCCACCGCCGGGCTCAACAAAGGCCATTCAACGGAACAACACCTGGGGGTCGGTGGGGCTCCGGGCTCAAGCGCGCGACAGCGGGTGTTGGTGCGAGTGCCGCGTGCACTCGCCCCCCCCCCCCTCCCCCATACCTGCATAACAAACCAGCTGCGGTGCTATTCCGGCCGTAGCGATATAGTGTCGTCTATGGGCATGGAAAAGCTGCACTGCATCTGTACACATCAGGTGTATATTACAATGCCGCGTACTGGCAAACAGGTGTTCAAAATGTTTTCTGTCGCATGCAGCGTGCACTGCATTGCCATGAAAATTTTACTTCAGCATACCAAAGACACTTATTCTGCACGCAAAATACGGAAGAAAGCCACGTTAAAACAGAGCGCAAGCTCTCACAAATTTTAGCACATCCATATGTCATTTCCGCTCACACGTCTGATGTGGGCGCCATATGACCATCGCGGTCGGCGCGACCCAAAGCCCAAATGATCATCACACGTCTGACGTGACAAAACTTCGCGCACAAGCATACCCATTGCTCCTACAGTCGTCTACTGGACCACTTTCGGTCATAACATGGCCTCAATCACAACACGGTGACCGGGCGAGCTTTAACCTGTTGCGATGTTTCTAGCTTGGACCGGTCTTTGCTCGTCAGACCGACTACGAAACAATGCGTCTACGTCACAGCCTCTCTTACCGCGGTGTCATATTCAGCTTGATCTCCCCCTTGGTGCACAGCGTCACCGTGGGCACGACAAAGCTGAGCTCGTGCGGCGTGCTCTCCCCCATCTCCAGGCGGTAGCGGCGCACGAGCCGCACCAGCGCCATCTTCGACTCCAGCATGCCGAACCGCATCCCGAGGCAGTTGCGCGGCCCTGCGCCGAACGCCAGCCAGGCCATCGGGTGGCGTCCCTCGCGCTGCTCTTTACTAAAGCGATCCGGGTCGAACTTCTCCGGATCGGGCCACACAGCAGGGTCGTGGTGAATCGACCAGACGGGTGCCAGGATGTTGGTGCCGGCCGGCAGCCTGTATGGTCCGAGCGAGGTCGGCTCGGGGGAGTGACGGGACACGAAGGTCACCACGGGAGGGTAGAGCCGCATTGACTCGCACAGAACCTGGTCCAGGTACGGCAGGCTGGCTAGCTGGTCGTACCGCATCTCCTCGTCGGCCTGGGAACGAAGTGAAGAAAGACAGGTCAGGTGGAGGGAACAAGGCTAAATGTGGTTGGGAGATGAGATACACGTATCGAACAGTACCAAAGCAGTCGACAGAAGCGAGCATGTAGAAACAACGTAAATAGGATCATAATCAGCCGCCAACATACTGCGAAGCTCGGACAAAATAACTTAGACTTCACATCTGGTCTCAAGTCACAGTCACGCCTCGTACGGGCGGATGTTATACCTTCGTCGAGGACACCTCAATTGCGATGATGAACGCAGTGCTAAGCCCCAAATCCTCCCGCATCATTCATCTACCTACCGGCAGCTGCTCGCTGATTTCCTGGTAGAGCTTCTCTTGAACATGTTGGTTCTTGGCCAGCAGGTAGGAGGTGGATGTGAGCGCGTTGGCCGTGGTCTCATATCCCGCCAACACCAGCACCAGAGCGTTGCTCTTGATCTCCTGGTCTGTCAGCTGAAGCTTGGAGTGGATGCCCTCGCCCTCGCCGCTGGCGTCCAGCATGGCCTGCAGGATGTCCTGGTATCGCGTCCGCTTATCTTGGCGACGCATTTGGATCACGCGAGTCATGTTGTCGTTGATCATCTTCACCATGTGCTCGGAGAGGGCGAACGTCTTCAGTATGAGGCCGAACACGTCGGCGATCACGGGGAAGGCGAAGGCGGACTCCGTGATCGGGTTGGACGCGTGCTCCATGAAGAAGCGAACGCGGTGCAGAAACGGATCGTTCGGATCCTTCTGGCAGTTGGCCTTCAGTGCCAGCGCGCAGGCAGCGATGACGTCACACGTTAACGCCTGGAACAAAGCGTGGACGTCGACCTCATCGCCGCGGGTGATCTTGGCGTCCACCACCTCCTCCATGGTGTCCATGCACTTGCTGACGAGCGGCGACATCTGCTTCATCTTGAAGGCGGAGAAGCAGGAGACCATGAGGGAGCGCATCGGCTTCCAGCGCTGTGGGTCTACTTGTAGAACTGAGTTTGAAAAGTCCTCTGTAGAAATCGACGGCGGTGGCCGCGTGGAAAAGCGCTTGAAGTCCTTGATGAAGACGTCACGCAGCAGGTCCAGATCCTTCACCACGACGTAGCGGTGGATGCCCATGTGGTACGCCACGAAGTCACCATACTGCTTGAGCCAGTCATCTATGAGCAGGTGGCACGGCCTGGTGCCGTAGCGGAACTCCATGACGTTCCCCATGAAAAAGCCTGGCTCTGGACCTGGCACACCGGCATCCTTCAACGCGTTCAGGAAGCGGCGCCTCCGCCACGCCCAAACGCCTAAGAGCAGCAGCACAAGGGTCAGCAGACTCATCGTGAGCGGTCCGGGCAGCAACGTCAGTCCCCGCATCTTCGCACCAGCTCGTCGGCAGTCTCGCCGCAGCAAGCCCAGATGTCTCACCTCCACGAGCGGCTCCGTTCAATGGCCAGCCTCTGGCGTCCCTGTTAAAACACTCACGAGCTCAGCGCGGCCATCTGGGGCCGACGCGCTGGAGTTCTTAAGTCCGCGTCGCTGACCTGATCCCGGTCGGGCTCACCAGCGCCACTCCACCCGTCGCGGCGACCCCGCACTCTGCTCGCGTGTCACGCCACCTCTGCCACGCGGCTGGCACCCACCTCAGCCCCCGGCGCGCGGCGGTCACCGGCCGAACCCAGCGCCCGCGCCGGCGCCGCACCGCCGCGCCCGAGCGCGTCAGCTGACAGCGGCGAGTTCAGGGTCGGCGTGAGCTCAAGGTCAGGTGTGCACGGCGCCGTTACCGAGCCGGGGATGACGATCCCGGAGCGAGCGGGGTGGTGATCGGCCGGCTGAGTGCGGATATCTCGCGCCGCCCCTGTGCACCCTGGACTTCGGGCGGACATCCGCATTGTGTAATAAAAAGGTCGTGAGTGTGATGACTGTGTGTCTGAACGCTCAGACCACAGAAACAGCCGACACCGAGAGCGGGGGTGAGCATGATCTCCGCAGCCGCTGGTGATTAAGATATGGGTGCCGTGTGGCATGTATCGTGTTCCATCTCATAGCAATGGAACCAGTTGTCTGGGGCTATCTTGTTAGGCAGGCAGCCAAGTGCATCTTTTCTTGGTGGGAATAGGTTGGACGAAGGACTGAGCCGTCAGAATGATACACCTGGCCATTGCCTTTGAAACAATTCACTTTCTTGTGATTAAAAGGCAGTTCCCCTCGCGCTTTATCGTTTGCCCTCTAGCGCAACCCGCACCCGGGCGAGGAGAGACTGACCTCTCCCAAAGCTTTTTTTGTGAAAAAGTAAATGGACGCAGTTGCACGAAATTGTCTGCACCTATTTATCAGCCAATTTAACATCCCTTGCACCAATTCAAAGTTTTGATCTACCAAGATCAGTGACAGAGGTCAGGCCGAACAGTTAAACATCTAAAAAAACATTTTACCATGCGTAGCTTTTCGTGGGTCATTTGCCGTTACTCAATCTTGCTGTATTAAAAAACATCATATTATGTACAGTTTGTTCCCTTCAGGTTTTCACACAGGCGAGGCCAGTGACCTGATTTCGGGTCAATGCTTGCTATTTTTGTAAGTAATGCAAATTTTGAACGACCTTGGTGTAGTTTTGGCATTTCTGTATGAGCAAAAGAGAACCAACTCACATCCACAACTATCATATGACCACAGAGAACATGACTATGGCCTAGGTCACGACTTAACTTCATGGGTGCCTTTTGCAAAGCACATGCTGAACTCAAAATAGGCAGTTTAACCGTTAACTCTGGACCCGGAACTCGAATACTCCACTGAAATACGTGATATTATTCTTGTGTATAATGAGGTCACAATAGGTCGCGTGAGGACATGCAAGGCCATTACCCAAGATCAATGGCCTATGTTGCCAGTAGCGGAGAGGCGAGATGAACGATACGACGCATGTAGCCACCTCCTAATCATGTTTGTGACGACGATGACACATAATTTCATGAACCAACGTGCCTGTTCTCAGTTTGGCAGAAGTACATTGCCTAGCTTCGAAGGCACTATGCATAATCTAGACAACGGTTAGGCGATCTTGAATGTTTGTAGATGCGCAACACGCGGACTGAAAAATGACAGAAAAATGTTCTGTTTGACGACTGAAAGTGAGATTGTACTGGTTACGTTAACCAGGTCAGCACTTCATTTCGTCACTAGGATGGCTTATGAATTCTACCTAAATTGATCTCAGATGACCTCTAGGTCAGCTTATAATGGTATGTTTGTGTCTGGATAACTTTTGGCCCGCAACTACGCCTCATAAAATAAGCCTATAAGCACATTGTTGAGAGGCATCGTATTTGTAGGCTCTTGGTAGACCTCTTTCGAGCGGTAACCTGATCTGGCCCGATCTTTGTGGGAGAGAGATTGTTGGAATGGACTCCCCACAGTCGTAATGCCTTTTTCCGAGCCCTCATCACCCCTCTTGACGTGCTAACGCGCGTCCGTGGACCGGTTGAATACCCTTCGCCCGGGTGGGGGTCAATTTCACCCGCTAATATCTAAAAAACTAAAGGAGAAAAATACACCCAATTCGTAGGATGTATTTGCCTGTACGTAAACTCACTTTTGCCAGCGTTTGAGGTTACTGGCTTATAACCTTCGGGTAAAAAAAGGTTAAACAAAGTCAAACTCCAGATTGGTGTCCAAAGTGCCCCCAGACCTTCTTATGCAACCATCATGAATCTGGACACCTGATCTCAACAAAACGTCATTGATGTTCATCTAAATTTAGTGACCTTCTTTGACCTTAGGAAGGTCATGACGACCAGAATCATACAACACTGCTTTGATTTTTTGCATTTGAATGAGTGATACAAATTACAAAAGCGGTATGCTACTAAAAAACAACATATCGACCTGGGCCATTGTAGTTCAGTGACCTTTTCTCACCTCAAAACACCAAGGAAGACGTATAATGCGGTTACCGTTACCAATAAATTCAAAATGACACCAGAAACTATCCCATACAGCAAGCTCTGGAGTAAAAACAAGTGGCTTTTGACCTTGGTATCACCTACATGCCTGACCCTATGCCAATGGGATTTGTTAACTCACTTCTTTTTGCCTAAGAACCTATCTCAGAGATGTATGGCTTCTTCTAACACTTCGTTGTAGAACCAGATTAAACGATTCCCTCGAAAGTGTCCTCGCTGAATCCTTGGCCTGAAATTGGCCTGCCGTAGCTCAGCGATCTTACAAGGCGCATAAAATTGATATCTACAGCTATGCTGTAGATGTCAAATTATCTACAGCTATGCTAGCTACAGTTATGCTGGAATTGGCGGGGTGTAGCCGCGCCAAGTGAAAAAAATACAAACATTCAGGTCAACTTGATCCCACCCGAGTGCGTGTTAAAAGTTAGAGATCACTGGCCGACGAGAAAAAAGATGTTGTTATGTGGGCCTCGTTAATTCATGAAGGACTCGCACGAAATTTAGGAAGGACACGCACGCCCAGAATTTATATACCAATACACTACAAGAGCGATACTTCTTGCCTTTTTTCACCGTGCCTTTGACTAAGTTTAATTTATTACGAAGAAAAAGGTATCCCAGGCATAAGAATATTCTTTTAGGCTGACCTAGAGATCAACAAAGGTCAACTCAGGTTAATTCATGATCAAACCAACTGGAAAAAGTATGAAGTGCTAACCGACCCTAAGTCACCAGTACAATACCGTTCTGTAGTCAGAAATGGTTTGTTGTATGTCTACAGGTATTCAAGATTGCAAACCTGGTAGTTGCACAAGATCGTAAACCCGGTAGTTGCACGTGCTCACGCCTTATCACTCGCATGCATTTTTGTGTGCATTTCCTTTGCGTGATTTCACGTCGCTCCTTTTCCGAGACGTTCTAAATTTCGGCTGTTTTGCAGGGCGTCGTATTATGCCGGATTTTATGACGTCGCCGTGCCTCCGTTTGCCATGAAGGCTGTAGCAACTGCTCTTGTGTGCGGTTGATCTCAGGTGGCGTAGTGGTGCTGTTGACGGGTCGGCCGGGGCACATTACGGAAGGATTAGTGGTGGTGTTGTTCTCGGGGGGCGGCATGTGCTTCATTGGAGACTCGTTTGACCCACGGGCTCTCAATTTAGATGGAACTGGCCGTCATCCAGCCTGACCCGCGGCCGCGCGCTTCTGGCCGCTCTAATCGCGTCACGATCAGGGCCGGCTGGAACGTAGCAGTGTGTGTGTGTGGGGGGGGGGGGGGGGAGGGATTGGGTAGGAAAGCGATGGACCCAGCTGGTCAACTGAGAAGGGGCCGAAATAGGAGAGAGAGTGAAATCATCTGGGCGTTTGGTTCGCGCGTGCCCTGTGCAGAGACCTGGCTGTTTGGGAGTCTCTCTTGCCCATTCAATGACGGCTCTCCTCTTGAGTCTTGAGGATTGTCAAGATTGTATCATTAAATGTCAATGGAGTCCGGTCCACTGGATATACGAGCAAGCGAAGACAGTTTTTTGCTGGTTTAAAAAACGGAGATTAGATGTCGTGTCCACGCAGGAGACACATTCAGACACCACAACTGAGAACATGTGGCTAAACGAATGGGAAGGATAGGGTGTTCTTGCTCACGGCGACAACAGGAGCAGAGGGGTCGCCACCCTTATCAATCCAGATATGAAAATATTCATTCAAACAATTGTGAGGTGTCCATCAGGTCGTTTTGTTATTCTCGTCGTCGACATCAACGGGAACACAGTTACGCTAGTAAACACATACGGTCTGAACACAGACAGCCCGAGCCACTTTCGCACCTTACTTGACGAGCGCAAAGAATTGCGAGCTGTAGACATCATATGGGGCGGGGATTTAACTTCTGCTTAAACGTGGAGATCGATAGGTTTACAGCTGCAGCTAGGTGTTGCAACAATGACGAATCAAAACGGACAGCCCAAGAATTAATGTGAGCAAACTTCCTGATAGACATTTGGAGGTCATTGAACCCTGAAGTTCGCATGTACAAGTATGAACGGAGAATCCCGTTAAGTAAATCTAGGATTTATGTTTTTCTGATAAGTGACTCCTTTCTTTACCAGGCTGAAGCCCTAAAGGAGAAATTGTGGACGGATTTCTGTTCCATCACAGAATGGTCGTTTTCGAGCTGAGCAGTCACAAAACTAAACTGGGCAAATCGTATTGGAAGTTTAATTATTCATTGTTGCTCGACGATGTTTACCTGCAGTCGGCCATGCTAAAATGACTGAAATTATCCGAGGTAATTCGACAGGAGTATCAGCGTGTTTGCTCCTGCACACAGTGTTGTGCGTATTCCGGGGATGAAGCACACACCATTCGTCTCGCAAAAAGAAGGAGGAAAAAGAGGTTTAACGATTTAGAGAATACTATAAATACGATTCAAAAGTCTAACTTATGGGCACCAGTCAATTCTGACGCAGCTCCGCGGCTTGCCAGTGCTAGAAAAGAGACGACATTCTAAGAAGCATGATTTGTCGGCGTGCGTTACGTTGTCAGGCTCAGCGGCCACACCCTGCGGAGTAAGGGTACTGCTTACTTTCACGGGCTGAATAAACGCCTCCACGGGCCTGGACAAACGCTGTTTAGGTCCATGATGTTAAACCATACTAAAGCCGGGCACACCAAAGAATCCACTTTTGGAGATGTTAGAAGAAT